AATCACTAACAGATTCAGTTACGCTCTGCCCTGTTTCATTTCTCTATTTTCCAGCAGGTGGAGACAAAGCAGAACACTTTGCATAACCCCTCTCCAGAACTTTGAAACATGAGGGTTGGCTTCCAACACAGGAAGACACAGGTTGGATTATCTATAACCAAAATAAAAAGTGCTCTGTCAGAGCAAGCACGCCAAAGTTAAATAGGTACAGAGTGCTTTGAAACTTGCGATTACTAATTATGACTCATTCTTCTTTGTAAAGTAAGCACTCTTTGGCAAATCCTCTCCATCAGCTTCTCCAGGGCCATGGAGGTCAGTGACAGCCGCAGAATCAGTGTGGACCCTCTGCATATGTTGGGAGAAGTAGTATTATAGGACCCAGCATAGAGCATCCACGAGTCTGACATGCTGGGGAGCTGTGCTCTGCAGTCCAGCACAAAGGGGTGGAGGAAGAGAGGCACAGAGTAAGGAGATTTGCATTGTCTGGGGAGGAGGTGACCCATGATGGTCTCATGGAATCTGTAAAGTAATCTCTGCTTCTTCTATTACTCAGGCTTTGTGCAGTGACCAGGATTTTTCCCGGTGGAAGAAAATCTTGTGAATTAATAATCTGCCAAAATCCCAGTGCTTCAATTGGCCAAATTCTCCAGGTATTTTCTTCCCCACCTGGTACCTGCAGAAACATTCTGAGAAGGAATTGTTTGCAATGAGGCTCTGTAGAGTACTGGATCTTTCATTACTGGAAACCAAGCACTGAAGGTGGATAAGTGAGTGTTTTGCTTTGTCTCTACAGGCAGGAGAATGCTGAGAGATGAGAGAGTTCTCTACTGAAAACAATATTAGCACATCTGTGAAGTTGCTTGGTGTCTCTCTCCTTTCCCTTTCCTTTCTATGTGCACATAAAGCCACCACAATTAGCTTCTCTATCAAAGGCATTCACTGTCCACATTATTTCAGCTACTGCTGTCACAACATTTTATCTCTGGAGGGCTACAAGCTTGGAACTATAAAGCATGCTTTCCCCCAGTGGCAGCTTCTCACTGAGCTGGAAGTGTGAATTCCACCTTGAAACATACCCACACTAGCTCTCATTGAGCTAGTGTGCTAAAAATAGAGTGTAGCCATGTTGGTGTGAGAAGTGGGAAGGGAGAGTTGCCCTGAGCACATTAACCATCTCAGACATGTACATGTGTGGATCGGCTTGCCCATCCCGCTCCCCACACCGCCTCAGCTATGCTCTATTTTTAGGATGCTAGCTTCATCGGAACTAGCAAGGGTACGTCTCCTCAAGCTGATATTTACACCTTCCAGCTCTAATGCGGACAAAGTCATAATTATCATTGGTCCAGAACGAGAGAAAACTCTTGAATGGGAAGTGCAAATGGCTTCAGTACTAGTGAACTCAGAAGTAAAGTTACTGATAGTACTATCGACCTCATTAATTCCCAGAGGGCTGTTACGGTGTGGATCAGGGCAGGGATGGGCTGCTATAGGAGCTGTTACACCAATTCTAGGTCACTGGAGGATTCCCTGTGCTGGGGTGATTGGCTTGTGGCCCCAAAGCCACCATAGCCATGTATTTTGTGTAGGTTTTCACATTACAATGTGTCTCCAATGCAAGGGAAGATCTGAGCCTGTGTCTTCTAAAGGTGTCTGCCAATTCTAAGGAGGCAGGGATGCATTGGGAATAAGATAGTTAATTAAATCTTACTTGCAAGTGAATTAAATATAGAGAATGGGAAGTTAGAGCAGTAATGGAAAAATATGCAGCTTGAGTATTATTACTTTATTATTAACAACTTTTATTACAGTAGCACCTACAGATCCCAGTCAAGACCCAGGCCCATTGTGCTAGGTACTGTTCAAACACATAGTGAGAGGCAGTCCCTGCGCAAAGAACTTGGGACTAGATTTTCAAAGGTATTTAGGTGTCTAAAAGGTACAAACAGATGACTACTGGAATTTTCAAAACTGGCTAAGTGCCCACTAGGAGCATATGTAACTTGCTTAGCTATTTTTGAAAATTTCACTAGGCACCTATTGTTCCTAAAATCTTTGAAAATCTGTCTCTTACAATCTAAATAGATAAGATACAAAAGCACAGGGGAAAGGAAGTATTACTATCCCTATTTTATTATTGGGAACTGATGTAAAAAGAAGTTAAGTAACTTCTCATTATAGGGAAAATAGGGTGTTATTTTAAGTAATTAAAATATAGGAGGGGCTCAGGAATAACATTTAATGATTTTTACCTCTATACAGGTTACTTTGGATTGAAGCTGTGAGAAATAAACCAGTTTGGTGCACCTTCTATAAATGTATTAAAAGACTAAGCAAGCAGTTATAGAATAAATATGAATTTAAGCAACATATGTCACAAGCTAATTTAAGTTAAAGTTTTCCTAACTTACCTTACAATGGTATAATGCAACAGTCAAATTAAGGCTGTAATTAAAACATAATCAGTAATTCAATGGTTCAATTTATCTACTTTGCCAGTGAACAAGTTAAGGAAAACAATTCTGTTAAGATTTTGCAGGAAGGTTAATGGGAGAAGCTATTACCTTTTATTTTAACCCTTTAGCTAAGGTTCCATTAAAGGCAGAGGCTATTTCTTGTCTTTATTTTGAGGAAGTACAGCTCTTAAAATGGTTTCTTAGTCACTTCTTCCTCTGGTTGCTTTCTCCTGCTAAGCTTCGTGTTCACAGAAATCACATCAAGCTTCTGTTTATTTACTCTATTTCCCCTCCCCACTTGAACACAATACCTGCATTTTTCTGCCAGTCATACACAGATATAGAATGTTTTCTAGAGACCTATACTTAAACCGGTGTCATTCTAAAGCTGCTATGACCCAGGATCTCTTCATGTTAGATAACACTTAGGGGTTTAGTGTCTACTTTGAGGGGTAGTTGCAACACACATGCGTGTGCACACACACACACACACTAATGGGCATTGGAGCGATTTGAGTGTCCTTGAATTGCTCTTCAGAAGGATTTTCATAACTTCTTCTCAAAGTCTTTAGCTCATATGATTGGTCTTAGTTTGGAACTATGTTTATTGATAAAATGTAGCTTGGAGTTCTTTCGCATGTTGTGAGGAAAGTCTGGTCTCATCTTTCTCAGCTGTAGACTTCAGGCTTGGCTTAGCTGGCAGTCAGAGTCTTTCACCTCTTCTTCTTTGGATGTCTGGTCCAGGGAACAAAGCATGATACAACTTTGGGTGTTGTGTGATGTGAGAGAGCCCCACCTTCTTTCTGCATGGTTAGCATCTTTTGGATCAGTGACTCCTCTACTCAGCCCTGGGCCACTCCAGCATGTCAGCTATAGTTCATTGTGCACAATGACTTGACACCTTGATCTTGAAGTCATATAGAAGATGCCAGTTCAGTATGTATGTGTCTTGCACAAATTTGATGATAATCGCAAACAGATGTTCTCGAAAACAAGACGCAAGAAGGTGCCATGTGATAAGGAACTGGTATGCAAACTTCTGCTTATGACCAAGACGTATCCTAATTGTTTAAATATAATTAATAGCTATTCAACATCCACACATCTACTCATTCCCACACACCATTGTGACCGTGAATTAATTATGACAGGTGGAATGTAACTGAGAAGTGGGGCAGATCCTAGGGCAAGTGAATGACTGTACCCTAATAACCTGTTGCCTACAAAGCAGAAAGCTGCTTCAAACATCTCTTAGTAATGCTAACTTTCATTAAGCATTGAACATTAAACTATCATTAAATATTTCACACAGGACATCTGTAAAAGAGCCAGGAATTTAACCCAGATTGCCTCAAGTCTCAGTCCAGTGTCTTAGCCCCAAGCTCATCATCCTTGTTCACAGTTAAGCCCCTTATGTTTTCAGTCTTTTTTTTTAAATTGGGATGACTACAGCTACAAGACTGTATGGGGTCAGTTGTGGCTAATGATTTCCTGTCCAACAAAAGTCAAGTCACTTAAGGCTAAATTTTCAATTTTGTTGTTTAATTATGAGTGCCTCCGTTTTTGGGTGCTCAGCTTGACACACCTATGGTCTGGATTTCTGGAAAACTCCAGCTGAAGTCAATGGAAATTGTGAGTATTCAGCAACTCAGAAGATCAAGCATTAGGGTACAGATTTTCGAAAGGACCTCAGCACCTAAAAATGGGGTCAGATTTTCAAAACAGATCATCTCCCATTCAAACACCAAAATAAGTGGCCAGATTTTTTTTTTAAAAAAGCACCCAGCACACTGAGCTGTTTTGCAAGTCGCATCCAGAGTTCTAAAAATATGCACCTGAGTTAGACGACACTTTTCAAAAGCTGACACCTCACCACTTTGTGTCTTTCCCTGACTCCACAAATCTCTAAAATGGGACAATTATCTATTAACCATTGAAAAGTGCTTTCAGACCCTAAGAATAAAGGATCTGTACAAATCTGTTGAGGACAGATGGTACCAGAAAAACAACAACAACCCAGAATTCTATTTGAAATTTATGGAAAGCAAAGGAAAAATACCAGTGACAGATGTGCTAGTCCTGCAGACTGGTGTAGGAAGTGTAGTTTAAATATGTAACAGCTTGTGTTTTATGAAGGGTGAGAATAGGAAATGAGACAAAAAAAAATAGAATTCTATCACCACTAACTGCAGTCACAGCTATTATAGAGAGTTCTGTTTCTTGACTTAGCAATACAAAGCCTTTGGATTTACACCAAAGAGCATTGTCATGTTTTGCTTTTAACAGCAGTGCACATAATTTTTTGGTGAGGACAGTTTGGGTGCCTGCTCCTAGTCAAATCATACCTCATAGAGGAGCAGAGCTTGGAAGTTAGTACTTTTTCAGTCTGGCATTTGTCACAAGTTGAACCAAAACCAAACAATGCTCCATTTCTAAATGGAGTTTCTGAATACTAAACAACCTAAGTTGAACACATTTTGCCCACTTCTGAAGAAATTGGGTGCTAGCACACTTTCACAGTTATCCATGGAAAAAATATATTACCCAGAACTGGGCCATGACGTTCACCCTTATAGTTTTCTCCATATCAGCATCTGGAAGGTCAAGAAATGTTTTCACATTTGCTATGCCTGCATCATTGACTAGGATATTAACATCCCCAACTTCTTTTCTAACCTGAAAGGAAAGAAGGGAAAACCAAACTATTATATGATATTCATGCTATTTGTGCTTTACGTTTATAAAAACCATGTAGTAATCTGTTCTATGTACTGCCTGAATATTTGCCATTACTATTTATTACCAATACTCTGGAAGCAGACTACATTTGGTAGGTGTTTTACAAACAGAGAGAAAGACAATCCCTCATCCTGACCAGTTTATACTCTCAGAGGATTACTTTCAGATTCACACATGACTTTTCAATTAGTGTACGTGCCTAGAAAGGAGTTAATGGATTGATGGTAGTTTACCAACCAACTTCTAACACTTGAGTATGAAAAAACTCTTCAAGGAACAGATTTCTGCCTGTAGTTTAAGGCCAGGTCTACACTAACCCCCTAATTCGAACTAAGGTACGGAACTTCAGCTACGTGAATAACGTAGCTGATGTTCGAAGTACCTTAGTTCGAACTTACCTTGGTCCACACTCGGCAGGCAGGCTCCCCCGTCGACTCCGCGGTACTCCTCTCGCCGAGCTGGAGTACCGCAGTCGACGGCGAGCACTTCCGGGTTCGACTTATCGCGTCCAGACTAGACGCGATAAGTCGAACCCAGAAGTTCGATCGCTCGCCGCTGAACTACCGGGTAAGTGTAGCCAAGGCCTAAGGGTGTGATTTCTAAAGTGCTGCACACTATCTGGCCCATGTAAACCCTGCTGGTGAGAACTATGCACTACATTAATGTGCAGTAGGGAATGTACAATTTGTGTCAGCAGGGTCTACGTGGGCCAGTTAGTGCATAACATGTTAGTACACTTTAGAAATTACACCCCTCTAGCACACATTGTTCCACATGTAGACAAGCCCTAAGTCTGTACTTTTAAGAATAACTCATGCTCATAGGAACACAGAAAATTCAAGGTGCTTGATCCCCTTATGTTTAGCTGGCAGAGTCAATGTGTTGAAAACTTCATATGGACCTGGGATAATTTCAATATATTAGCTTACCTGGTAATGTGTACTGTGTGCATATGATTATTCTTATATTCCATTTAAAACAAAACAACAACAAAACAAACAACATCATTACTAGCATTGGATGACATTTTTCAGATGAGTAGTTTATTCATAAAAAAAATGCCATTTTGGGTGGACCCAAACTATTTCCGAATTTGTGTCAAGCTCACCAAATAGTTTCAACTGAGCTGAAAGAGTCTAAATGTTTTGATAATGTTGAAACATACTTTTGATTTTCAGGCATTTTGACAAAAGCAAAGCACTGACAAAGTAGCTAGAAGAGGAGGTGCTTCCCTTATAAGCTTTAGCCTAGCAGTTAGGCCACTCACCTAGGATGTGGGAAATCTGGCTTCAGTTCCACACTCTGCATGATGTGTTGAAGGGATCTGCACTTGGGTATCCCACATTGCAAGAGAGCACCATAACCACTGGACGATGGGGCTTTCTTAATCTCACCTGTTAAGTCTGTTCCACTTTGGCCAGGTCTAGACCTATATAACTATGTCGCTCAGGGGTATGAAAAATCCACACCTTTGAGCAATGTAGTTATACCGACCTAACCCCCCCAGGTAGACAGTGCTATATTGATGGGAGAGCTTCTCCCCTTGACATACCTACCTCCTCTCAGGGAGGTGGATTAACTATGCTGACAAGAGCAGCTCTCCTGTCAGTGTAGAAGCATCTCCACTAAAGTGCTACAATGGTGCAGCTGCACTTGAAGAAAAGCCCTTAGTATCAATAATTAAATAGTCATGGAGGAAGGACTTCAACTTGGGTCTCCCACATCTTGGGTGAGTGCCCTACGTACCAGGCAATACAGTCATACTTACTCACTTTCTCTGGCCCAATGACTATCCATTGTCATCCACAGTATCCAGTGTCATTCATAGTCATAGAAAAGTCTTTGGGCCCGGGAACGAGACTGAGAATGACTCTATAGCCTGGTAGTTATGACACTCATGTAGGATATGGGAGACCCGAATTGAAATCCTTGCTCAATGACTATTTAATGGAAAAGTGGAAAAGCTTCAACAGAAGAGACTGAGAAAGCCCCACACCAGAATAGTCCAGTGGCTGGGCACTCAAATCTTTTCTCCATATCAGGCAGAGAAGGGAAACAAACACAGGTCTTCCATGTGAGTGCTTTAACCACAGGCCTAAAACTTATAAAGAGAGGCAACACTATCACCTCCTCGTCCAGTGGTTTTGTGAATACTTTGCTTTTGTCAAAATGCCTGCAAATCATAATGGATTTTTTTGGGTCAAAATGAAACAAAACATTTCAATGCGACATTACCAAGTGGTGTCAACTCTTTTAAATGTTTTGATTTGCTGAAAAGTGTCATTTGACAAAAACAATTTTTTTTCAGAATGGCCAGAAACCAAAAAAAATACATTATTCACGCCACTCACTACATTCAGCAGTCAGTTAGGAAATGCGAATGTTAAGATTGCATCTACCAGTTTAACTGCCACTTTTGTATATGCTTTCACAAGAGAAATAGAGTATATGGAAATTCAGACTTTATATCAGTTTTTAAATTGTATTTCTTAAATGGTTTGATCTTGATAAGTTTTAAAGTAACTTCGAGATGACGATTCGAGAAGGTAAGCTGTTTGAAGTACAGCCCAGTTTCAAAATAGAAAGATTACTGTAAATTGTCTTGTTTGCAAGATGAATGATGCCATTGATCCTTAGTTGTTTAACATTACTTTTAATTTACTGATGGATGAATGTTAAGTGACTGATTGTTGCTACGGTCTATTTCAATCAGCCAATTTCATAGGACTTTTGTTGAACTTTTTGTAACCTGGTGATTCCATATCATCTTTTCACCTGGATAAGACCATGTCATCTTCCTCAAAAGTAGTCTTGTGTTCAGGGTTTTTTGGAGGGGTGGAGAAGCATGGGGGAAGGACACAGTATAACAGTCTCTGTGGCATGTGAAACACTGAATATTTTTTAAATTGCTGATTTAAGTGGGACTTTCCCCAAAATAGATGCTAGCTTAGGGTAACCTAATTTAAACCTGATTGAACCAAGTTGCATGGCTCTAAGATAGGTCTCACACTCGATGTATATGTCGGCCTTAAAGATAGGCACTGCAAGGCAAAGTTTGAAAATCATAAGGATCAAGGGTAAGGCTGAGAAGCCTTTACCTTTTGGGTCAACAAGCCACCTGAGGGAAGACTGATGTTCCTGAATCCTCAAGACCCAGCCACCTTGGGGAGAAGAAGTCAAGACATCAACTAACAGGCCATGCCAGCCTTTGATCAGTCTCTCTACACCTGAAGGAGGTTTGCTAGCAAGAAGCGCTGTGCTGGTAACATCGTCTGGTTCCTTGATTGCATACTCTATGAGAGAGACAGGGTGAATGGAGGTAGTATTTTTAAATGGACCAACTTATGTTGGTGGAAGAGACAAGCTTTTGAGCTGCACAGAGATCTTCACCAGAAAGAGCTCTGTGCTGTTCAAAAGCTTGTCTTTTCCACCAACAGAAGTTGGTCCATTAAAAGATATTACCTTATCCACCTTGTCGCTCTCATATCCTGGTACCAACATGGCTAGAAAAACACTGCATACTCTATGAAAGTCCAGAAGACTACAAGGGTTTAAGAGATCACAACACCTTTGTTATCTTAAGTATCTTAGTTTTCCTTTTTTCCTGTTTTTGTCTTTTGCATTTATTAGCTGGTAGAGATTCCAGCTTTTTTTACATTTTCATTTTAGAGTGTTAAAATGTGGCTGTGTGCATACACCTGTGTATAAATACCCAAAAAGTCTGAACAGAGAAGACACCAGAAAGTAAGTTCCTCAGGTCTAAACAGCCCTAAAAGTTGTCTCATAAAACCTCATTAAAGTGTGTTCTATATTTAAATGTCCTGGCTTACATTGGCTTGAAATTGTATTCTGTAATTTCGGGTAAGCAAGTGTTCTCAACCTTCTGCTTATGAAGAGTGTTCTGTTAAAGTCTGTACTATAATGTCTCTTTAGGGCATGGAAGGAGGAAAGCATTATCCACCCCATAGCAACAGAATTCTAAAAAGAATCTTTACAATTGGCTTTGAGGATGTGGTTCAGACAGATAAAAAATTGGTTTCAGTATTAAGATTCCAACAGGTACCAAGTTGTAAATTTGACTAAAGTTGGTAAAATTCTTTAGTTGGGATTTATAACCAAATAGACAGCCACTTTCTTAAAAGCTCTCTAGAATTTCTAAGGATTGATTATTTGTACTTAGTTAAATCCTCTAATTAATTGATTACTTCATTTTATTCCAATGATCTTCTTATTGTATGTGGAGCTTGCCAAGCCAATTTGCAGCAGCCCTCATCAGTGAAGTGCAGAACCCTCAGATCACCATCAAATCCAGTCATCAGTGATGTTGTCTGTCTTTAGCCACAGCCACATGTGGGATCCTCTCGTTGGCCTCAGGTGTGAAGGCTAGCTGCACATTGACCCAGGCTTATTCAAAATTGGTTTAGAAGGGCCCATGAGCAGAATGGCAAATCAAAGCCAGATACACATGTAGTCAAGTTAGTTATAAGAGACTGGTTTCTGATGCCAATGGCAGAACATTCTTCATTCCACACTGACATCACAGAGAAAATAGTGTCAAGTAGGCCCACAACGGGTGCCTCAACAATAAGCACACTCTTGAGCACTGGAAGAGGTCCGTGTAAAGTGATAGGCTTGGGTTTGCCTGATCTTTGCAACCATTTTGTACGTAGCATCCTCACAATGGATGTGAGGAGAAGCGATGTTACTTAACACAGGAAGCCATGGTACTGGGGCTGGTCAAATTGTCCTAGTTATGATGTGCATAGTTGAGAGTAGTTGTTTATCAACAACTTGATGTGAGATGAATGGGGTTGACTGTGTTTCGTGGCATTTCTCTGTCTGAAAGGATGGATCCCGCACTGCTCTCTACTGTTGAGATCACTGTTATGAACACATTGCAGATGGTCATGCAGTATATCAGGAGCTCCCACTCTGAACAGGAATCAGAGTTGCCTGACCTGCTGCCATGAAAAGAAACAATACCAGATTACTTCTGGCATTCACGGAGCAGTTGAGCATGGTGGACCGTCACTTCTAGGCTCGGGAAACAAGCACTAAGTGGTGGGATCACATCATTGGGATCACACAGGTTTGAGATGACAAGTAGTGGCTGCAGAACTTTTGGATGTGGAAAGCCACCTTCCAGGAACAGTATGAGGTGCTCGCCCCAGCACTGTGGCGCAAGGACTCAAAAATGAGAGCTGCCCTCTCGGTAGAGAAGTGCGTGACGATTGCTGTGTGGAAGCTGGCAACTCCAGACTACTACTGGTTGGTCCCGAATCAGTTTGGAGTCGGAAAGTTGACCATGGGGCTGTGCTAACGTAAGAGTGCAGGGCCATTAATTGCATCTGGCAACGAAGGACTGCGACTCTTGGCAATGTGCATGAAATAGTGGATGGCTTTGCGACAATGGGATTCCCTAACTGCGGAGGGGTGATAGATGGCGCACACATTCCAATTTTGGCCCCGGACCATCTTGTGACAGAGTACATCAATAGATGAGGTACTTCTCTCTATGGTATTGCAGGCGCTTGTGGATCACCATCGGCGTTTCACTGACATTAACGCGGAATGGTCCGAGAAGGTCCATGATGCACGAATCTTCAAGAACGTTGGCCTTTACAGAAAGCTCCAAACAGGGACTTTTTTTCCAGACCAGAAGATTCCAGTGGGGGATGTTGAAAGGACTTAGTGATCCTGGGAGACCCAGCGAACCCCTTACTTCCATGGCTCATGAAGCCTTACACGGGAAAACTGGACAGCAGCAAGGAGTGCTTCAACAATAGGCTGAACAGGTGTAGAATGACAGTGGAATGTGCCTTTGGCAGATTAAAAGTGCGCTGACGCTGCCTTTATGGCAGGTTAGGCCTAAATGAGGAAAACATTTCCATGGTCATAGCAACCTGCTGCGTGCTCCATAATAGTTGTGAGGCGAAGGGTGAAAAGTTCCCCCCGGGGTGCAGAGGTGGATTGCCTTGCTGCTTAATTGATCAGCCAGATATCAGGGCTACTAGAGGGGCACAACGGGGGCTATTCAAATCAGGGAGGCTTTGGAGGCAACATTTTGATAATGAATACCAGTAATGTGTCTTTCTATACAGCACTCTGCCATGCTTTATTAACTTGCTGCCTTGCATGAAAACTGATGATTCCAAACTGGGATTTGTAGTGAGCATATGATCAAACAGCCACTATGTATTATGACCAGTAGAAACCACCTGTGTAGGAGACAAATAAAGATTGGCTATCTTTCAGAGAGTTTGTTTTTATGAAATACCAATTAACAACACACACAAAAGGATTGGTGGGAAGGGAGGTAACAGTGCAGGGCAGCGTAGGCTCTCATAGCTGTGTGTAAGTCCAGCTGTCATTTTGGAAGCTGTCCGAAGGGGTGGAGTGAACGGGGTACTGAGACGTTCCAGAAAGTTGCAAAGAATGTGTGGGAGGAGTTTGGAAAGTATGGGAAGCAGTTCTGTATTGGCTGCAGGCGGGGCGAGCACACATGTGTTCGATCTCAAGCGTGATTAGGAACTTCTCTGTTTGATCCTCCATGACTTTTATCATCCACTCCTGGCCCTTTACAATGCGTGCCTCGCTCTCCTTTCTGTCCTGCCTTTCTATTTTAAATTTTTCCTTCAGAATCTCTCTTCACTCTCTGCGTTCTCTTATTTTGGCCTCTCAGGATTGGAGCACCTCTCGGAACATGTCCGCCTTGCTCCACTTTGGTCGCTTCCTTATCTGGCAGAGGGACTCCGCTGGTGTACAGTGGGTTCCCCTGAAGTCCACATCTGCAGAAGCACAAGAAACAATACACAGAAGCATGATGGTTAGTTCATGCCCAGCATTGAATCATTATAGTAAAATACACCTCTTAACATATGAATCACTTTCTTATGTCCCTTGGCAAGCACACATCTTGACGAATACCCTAAAAATGGTGAGTTCGGCCTGGGTGGGAGTTGGGCATTCAAGATGGAGCACAGGGTCTAGGTGGTTTTTTAAGGGGATCAGTGCACGCGACTAGGGACAATATTGTAAATTCTGCATGAGTGCAACTTCAGACCCAGGCCCTATGCTGCTTGCCTGTGTGCCGCTTTGGTCCCTGCACAAGTGATTGCCAAGGGAAATTTTCTACAATGGGGGAAGGAACAAAGCAGCTCTGTCAAGGAATCTTCAGCAGAGGATTGTCAAGTGCCTCCAGGAAAGTTTCCTAGAGATCTTTCTGGAAGCTTCCCATGAAATCTCTGTGTGCATTAACACACTGTTCCACCGCACTGCTTAGCTGCACAGGGGAATGTGGAGCACACTCAAACACAGCTAATCTTGTATGTTGCTATCCTTTCACCCACTTTTAGATTATACAGAGCAAAGGACAGCTTGACCTCATATAACTGAGCAGCATCAATTCAAAAACATCACTTACCAGGGCTCTCCTCTCCTGCATCATGCACGCCAGAGATGGACTGCTGGGACTGGCTAGATCCCTCTGGAGTGGAAAAAGAGTTCCGGACTCGCCACGCCACTGGACGATCCTGCCATGTTCTCCACATTGTCCTCCAACTTGACCTCCTCATTCACAACTTCATCCTTGGGGTTGAGTCCACTGCCCACTACCTCCAGCCCATCCTGAGTATCCACACAGCTCCTGGTGGTGGATAGCAAGGATAGCATCCAGCTCTTTATAGAAGTGGCAGGTTTTTGGCACAGCATCGGAGTGATGGTTTGCCTCCCTTGCCTTTTGGTACACCTGCCTCAGCTCCTTTATCTTCACACAGCACAGCTGCATAGACTTTATCCAACAAGCCATGAGAAATCTGACCGCAGGTATCGAAGTTCCTACAGCTAGAGCGGAGCTGGACTGCACAGCCTCCTCTTTCCACAGTGTCAGCAGATCCAACAACTCAGGTGTGCTCCAAGCAGGAGAGTGTTTGCTGCATGGAGCTTCAATGGTCAGCTGGACAGATGCAATGTGAGCTCTCCACACTAAGCAAACAGGAAGTGGAATTTCAAAAATTCCTGGGACTTTAAAGGGGGAGGGACAGAAGCCTGTGTAACTGAGTGCAGGGCAGCGGAGTTCAAACTGCTGACCAGAGTGATCAGGATGGGCATTGTGGAACATCTCCTAGAGGCCATTTACAGTGACGTAATCAAGCGTGATGTCTACATTGACACTTTGTCAATATAATTTTGCTGCAAAAAGCTCTATGCCTCTCGTTGAGGTAGTTTTATTTTGTTGGCCAAGCAGGAGAGTTTTGTCGGAAGAAGGAACATTCCAGTGTGTACACCGCCACTGTTTTGTTGACGAAACCTGACTTTTGTTGACAAAACTGTGTTTACTTAAGATAGGGCAACAAAAGTTAAGTGTGTAGTGAGATCCTATGATGTCTTATTTTCCAGCTTACTATGAGTGAAGAATAAGTCCAAATTGTACATCAGGAAAACTTGGATGAGACCCTCCTGGTTGCTTTTTTGAAATGGTTATATCCCAAGGCATCCTTACTTAACTATAATTCACTGATCACATGGACAAATGGCAGAAAAAGCTCTTTACTGTTTCTCAGTAACATTTGCAAATTTTGAGGCTCAGCAATGAACGTGTGAAGTCAACTACAACCATATGCTTTACCCTGGTCTTGATTTGAAGCAACTATTTTCCTTTAGAGGGAAAACTATTTCAGTCTCTACAGTATATTAGATCAAACCCAATTATTTTATTACAAAAAATAGATTAAGCATTTACAAATACCTTCAATTTTTTTGTTAAATTGCAATAAATGGATATAAGTGGTAAATCCCCTTTACCAAACATTTCTGCTTCTAAAACTAATTATTTGAAAGAGATAACTTTTAATCAGATACAGTATTAAACTGGAAAGAAAAGCAATGTAAAATATTACCTGATCTGCCACTCTGTAGACTTCTTCCCTATTGCTGCAGTCACACCTGTAGGCATAAACTCCTTTGGCTCCATTTCCTTTGGCTAGTTTAATCGTCTCTTTGTTACCTTCTTCATCAATGTCCCAGAAAACCAGGGTAGCCCCAAGACGAGCAAAATTTAAGGCAATCTGCCTTCCAATCCCATTTGCAGCTCCTGTAATAAGCACTATTTCACCAGCAACATTCTTTTTACATGGAGGACAAATAAACAGAATGAAAGCCTCAAAGTAGTAATATCCTAATAAAATCAGGAATTCGAGAGTCTCCAAGATGCTGTTTAACTTGCACATGATTTTTCAGATATGAAGAATAATTTTTCTAATTAAAAAGATAAAACAAAAATGCTGCATTGAAACTTCAGAGATATTAGAATTAAAAAAAGAATTAGCTTGTACCCTAAGGATCTAGTTAGTTAATAGGTCACAATTCTTTTCTGCAAAAATGCATTTTATTGCTATATATTTTTCTTGTATTTTCCTAGGAAGTCACGGTATAGTGCCAATTGCTAAAGATTGCTTAGGCCAGAGGAGCAAGATCCCACAAGTCTCCTATTCACTTTGTTCCAACACTCCATTTTCCATTGCTTATAATGTCATTTAATGTATATTAAATGACATTATAATTATATATATAGTGAACAATTACACAAAATGTGTGTATACAAAAGCCCACATATATATATATATATATATATAAATAAAGTGGGCTTTTGTATACACACATTTTGTGTAATTGTTCACATTTCTGCCAAATAATAGATTGTTTTTGTAGTAGTTTGTTTAAATGGAGTGAAAGCCACCAGAACACTCAGAATGCAATAACCTCAGAAGATAGACTGCTAAAAAAGTTTCCTTCTCCCAAGAGAAAATGTGCATCACAATTTCAAAGCACAGGAGATAATGATTTGTCCAAACACTGCAAATTTTCCATTGATATCATTATTTGTATTTTCATAGTACCTAGGAGCCCTAGATTTTAAAAAAATCACACCCAGTGTTTTATGTTGTGGTAAGGTGCACCAATGCTCCTGAGCAGCACAGAATTACAGTCTTACAATTTTATTATGACATCACATCATTCTGTTTCCTTTATATTGTTCTCTCTTGTACATATCTATTGTGCCTTTAAATTGTAAGTTCTTAATTCTAGGGATCTGTTATAAATTTGGCACATTTCACTTCTGAAGTTGCCGTGTGTAAACAGACAGTGCTATATAGTTAGTTTGTGATAAAACTATCTTGGATTTTTGTAGTTACTTTGAACAAATGGGTGAAATCTCACCCTTTCCAGCATCAGTCAAGATGTGATGGAAAATAATGTTTGCCAAATGGAACAAAGCAGTAAATTTGGGAAATAAGTTTTTTTCCCCCATAGATGACAAGGCCAGAAAGGATCATCATAATATCATGATCTTCCAATTTGACCTGCCTAAGACAAGCCCTATTTTACCTAGCAATTACTGCATCCAGCAGATAATTTCTGTTTGAATTATAGCATATGTTTTTAAAAAATATCCCATCAAGAGGTAAAGACTAAGTGATAGAGAATCCACCAAGTCCCTAGGTAAATTATTCCAATAGTTAATTACCCTTACTGTGAAAACCTGTGCATTATTTTGAATGGGAATTATGAACTAAGAAAAAATTACTTGTCTCTGTCCTTTTAAATCCAGTTAAAAATCTCGGTATAGCAAGTTATGAGTTACTGTGACATCATACAGTAAAAAGGAGTACTAACAATATTTTTTAAAAACAATCGACAAGACCTAAGCAGTGACCACATATGTAAGAAAAGAACAGTATTGGTTCCCCTCTTTCTTTTATCTGTTGCAGTGGCCATTAAATATGTACAAACGTTTTTGTGAATAATTTTCAACCCTCCAAGGCTTATGCGGATTTTGTTTACAATGTTGTAATGACAGATAGAGGATATATATGAAAAATAGTAGTCCAAAGCTAGATCTAAGGGGGACTGCTCGCTACTATGCCTAAGGCTAAAAGCACTTTTCAAATTTTGCATTTCTAAGACCTGTACTTTATGGAGTGAGGGGACGGAAGATCTCCCTTGTACAAGGCAGCGAAACGCGATTTTAAGATACCACTGAAAGCTACAAGGTGTTTGTTAGTTCTCTGCACACTTTTAACCGTCTTCTGACAGAATCGCAGCTGCTGTAGCTATTGTATTTCACAGAGCCTATAGCCAGTTTTCCTCCCAGCCCAGGAGATCCCACAAGCCACACGTTCGCACCAACTGCATGCACAATTGTAAAGCACTGGAAAGATCAAGTTTTCCTGCCCCCTCCTTTCAGATCCGCAGCGGACAACTCCCCACAACCCGCTCCTCCGGCCCCCCTGCCGACAGACGGGAGGGGCTGATTTCCACCCGCCAGCGTGTAGTCTCCCCCGCGGGAGCGCTCGCTCGGCGGCGGCAGCCTGAGCGGGTGGCTCCCCCTTGCCCTGCCCCGCGCGCGGCGCACAGCACCGGAGAGCGACGCCTCGGGCTCCGGCCATCCCGGGAAGCGCCGCGAGCCGGGGGAGAAGCCCGCCCCGAAGCTGCAGCGCAGCGCCACTGGGGAAGCCGCCGCCGCCTGGCTCCGGGCGGCTGCAGGGAGCCCCGGCACCTCCCCGTCCCGCAGACTGTGTAACTTCGCTCCCCACTCACCGCGCGGACAGCTCCCTGCGGCGCGCGGGCTCAGTCCAGTGCCGGGCGGAGCGCGCGCGCTAGCGGGGTAAATAGCTCCTCGGCCCCCGCCACGCCACCCCCACGCAGCCGCCCCGCCCGGGCCGCTGCCCGCCAGCAGCCCGGACCCAACGAGGGCGCTTGGCCGGGGATTGCAGCCGGCAGCGGGAGGGGGCGGGCACCGAGGGGTCTGCGGCAGAGAGCAGGAGCAGGTGGTGCCTCGATGTGGGGCAGTTTCCAGTGTACCCCCTTCCCCCCAACTATCGCCCGCAGCGGGGGTGGGGGTATTATAAAGCCAGGCGGGAGAGTCAGTGGCCACTTTGGGTGAGTCTGCACCGCAGTTTAAGTGCAGGGTTAGTGGGACTTGAGTCAGCTGAGCTGTGTTAGGGAGCCCTGGGCTTAGGCTGACCAAAGGTCCCAATATTAGGAGCTTTGTTTTATATAGGCAATTATTCCCCACAAAAAAAGTGTCCCGATTTTTTACACTTGCAATTTGATCACTCCACCTGGGCTTAGGCATCTACATTGTCTTTTAACCCTACGTTAACACTTTTCTAACCCATGCTCAAACCTAGAGCTCTGGTGTCCAAACTGCAGTGCCCAGATACGAGTCAAAAAAAGTAACCCTATCCCAGTGTCCCTAGTGCCCCCCAGAATATGGCTGCTCTAGCCCTAGAACTGTGGTGCACTGTAGGAAAATGTTACTGCTTGCCATGCACGTTATCCGGAAGTAGCTTGCTTTGCAAAAGGCTTGTTCAGTTCATTCCCATTGCAAACCCAGGAGATTCTCTGACAGTGTGCTTGCAGATCAGTGATCAGAAGAGCCTGGGTTAATGCTGACCTGAGCTGGTGCTGTTTGCAAAGGGTGGCCTCTGTTTTAAATAGAGTGGATTGAATATTGTTGGGATAAAGAGGACTAAGGAAGTTGTCCCATGGAATTGTGGGATACTTCTGACTGACTCCTGGGACCTCAGTCAGGTGGGGCTGCATCTACACTGCAAAGCAATAGGGGTTGGACCCTATGTCATGGCTTAACTCAAGCTCAGAGTCTCTAGCCCCAGGGGCGGTGAGTCGTATGTGCCCATGCTCCACCAATATGAGAGTACGGGGGCCTGGCTCCACCAAAGTTCAGAGCCAGGTCTTCCCCCTGGCCCGGCCTGTTGTCACCGAGCAATTTAAAAGGGCCTGGGGCCCCCACCGCCACCCCGAGCAGCGCAACGGGGCTGCTCCGCTTCTGGAAGTGGCCGCACGTTCCTGTGGCCCCGGGGGGTGTCTCTGCACACTGCCCCTGCCCTGAGCTGCAGCCAATGGGAGCTGTGGAGGCGTTGCATGCGGGCAGTGGCGCGTGGAGACCTCTCCGGCCCCCCGCCTAGGAGCTGCTGCCAGAGGGGGGTGCGGGTCGTTTTCAGGAACTACCTGAGATAAGCGCTGCACCCCTCACCCTCTCCTGCGCCCCATCCCTCTGCTCCAGCCCACAGCCTGCATCGAAACTCCCTCTCAGAGCCCGTCTCCTGCACCCCAACCACCTGCCCCAGCCTAGAGCCCACTCCTGCACCCCAACCCCCTGCCCTAGCCCAGACCCCGCACCCAAACTCCCTCCCAGAGCCCGACCCTTCCCCCCTCCCACACCCAAATTCCCTCTCAGAGCCTTAGGCAGGTGGGGGGAGGGAGACTTGGACCCGTTCTGGCCATCACCACCAAAAATTATACAAACCTGCCACCCCTGTCCAGCCCTGCAGGGTTCTGGGACCTTGGGTCTAAGTCCTGGGTTAGCGTAATTGCAGTGTAGACACAAGGGGGGTTAGGCTTGAGCCTGGACTCAAGCATGGGCTTATATTGCAGTGTAGACATATCCTGAGGAGGCAGCTGTGTGCCTGGCAATTGTCCCAGGTGGCTGCATAGTGCCTGAAAAGAGTAGTAACAAGAGGGTTCCTCAGCAAGGGACCTTAGGGTCATCAGGGTCTTGCTACCATTAGAAAGTTACAGCGGGCTGGACGGTGGGTCTGAGGAGTTGTATTAGCCAACACTGTACTAGCCCCAGCTTTGCACTTAAGGCAGACGGCCAAGACATTGCCCCTGCCCTCATCCCATCCTCCACACTGCTCTGCAAAGAGGTACCCCTGAGCAGAGGTGCAGAGTCCTCCGATGCTATCTTGCTGCATCAGGGCTCCCATGGGGGTGGTATGGTGCACAGACAGCTCACTGGAGTAGACAAAGTCTCCTGAGTCAAAGGGTGCACTCTACAAAACTGCCAAAGGGCTCTGACCACCTGCCCTTAATGCCTGGATGGAGGAGAGGCCTTGGGGTGGGTGGAGTTTGTATTAGATGTGATAGGGAAGGAGGAGCCAATGGAGGGATTCAAAGGGAAGATTGATATGGTCAAAGTGATGGGATAGGAAAATTATCTTTGCAGCAGCATTCTGAATGGATATGAGTGGGGCGAGACTACATTGATTAAAGCTAGAGAGAAGGATATTGCAGTAATTGAGACTGCAGAAGATGAGAGTGTGGATGAGTATTTTAGCTGTGTGGATGGATTGCAAAGGCTGTATTTTAGAGATATTATTCAGAAAGAATCAGCAAGTTTTAAAAAGAGCCTGGATGTGAGGCCATCGAGAGAGGTCCAAGTCAAAGATGACACCCTGATTACACCCTGGGGAAGCCAAGACTGAGGTGCCAAGCAGAGCTTGGAAAGTACATGTTTGTATTCTGAACACCAGAGCAGTGAGAGGAGTCTCATTTTGGCATCACAAGTGGACAGAACTTGGAAGAATACCACTATCATCCTCTCTCCCACTTTGACCCCTGTTGTACAGCTTGTCCCCATGCAACAGAACTACACCTCTACCCCAATATAACACGGTCCTCGGGAGACAAAAAATCTCACCGCGTTATAGGTGAGACCGCGTTATATTGAACTTGCTTTGGATCCCCTGTTCCTTGTTCCCTGACTGCCTCCTCCAGAGACCCCCATCCCTAATCACCCCCAGGGGGACCCCACCCCCTACCCAACCCCCCTGCTCCCTGTCCCCTACTGCTCCGACCCCTATCCACACTCCTCGCCCCCTGACAGGCACTCACTGTCAGCGGCAGGAAGTGGAGCAACGTGGCCCTAGCCCGCTCCACTCCGCCACCTCCCAGCCGCGGCACTCTGCTTCCTGCCGCCGGTGAATGCGGGGAGGTTGGGGAAAGGATGCCCCCCGCACTCACCTGCGGCGGGAAGCAGAGCGATGCGGCCCCAGCCTGCTCCGCTTTCCTGGCCCTGGCCGTGTCGCTGGTGGGGTGGTTGGGGAAAGGTCCCACACTCACCTGTGGTGGGAAGCAGAGCGCCGCGGCTGGGAGCTAGCGGAGTGGAGCGGGCTGGGGTCAGGCTGCTCCGCTTCCCACTGCCGATGAGTGCGAGGAGGTTGGGGGAAGGACGTCCTTCACGCTCACCTGCGGCAGGAAGCGGAGCAACGTGGCCCCAGCCTGCTCCACTCTGCCACCTCCCAGCTGCAGTGCTCCGCATCCTGCTGCTGGTGAGTGCAGGGAGGTTGGAGAAGGGAGGCCCCCCGTGCTCATCTGCGGGGGAGCGCGGAATACCATGGCTGGGAACTGGCGGAGTAGAGCTGGCTGGGGCCGGGCTGCTCCGCTTTCACCGCTGCCGGTGAGTGCGGGGGGGATCCCTTCCCCCAAGTCCCCTCCCCCGAGAGACACGGCTGGGGCCGGGGTGAGGGAAGCGGAGCGGGCTGGTCCCGGCCCCCTGCTAATCCCCCGGGCCACTCTGGAGCTGTGGGGCCCCCAAAATTGCCCCCCAAAGCTCCTGCTTCCTAGACCCTGGAGGGGGGGGGGAGCCCCTGACCGCCCCTGAGACCCTCTGCCCTTTATCCAACCCCTTGGCCCCGGCCCGGCCCCCTTAACACGCTGCTCAGAGCAGCATGTCAGAACTTTACCACGTTGTATGCGAACCCGTATTAGATTGGGTTGTGTTTTATTGGGGTAGAGGTGTATATTGGTCTGCTGCATTCAGATCTGCAGGGGAGAGGGAACCATATATTTTTAAATGAGGGAAACTGCCTATCACCATTGACACAGTGGTTCAAGGACAATCATGGAGAGATCTGTAAAGTAACTATTACAGTTGAACTTGCTAAACACAATAAAGGGTATGCTAATGGTTTCGCAACACTGAAAGATACATCTAAAGCAAAGCAACTAGCTTGCCCTTGTTTCAGATCTTTAAGGAGACACTCATAGCAGTCAGTTTTCCTTGCATCCTAATTAAAACTATTCCTTTTTGCTTAGTAATTATGTGAATGCTTCTATGACATTTAATTTGCCCTAGCCATTAGTCCTTTTAAAACTAGTTTAATTCACTTTAATTAGTATTTGTATGCAAGAAGATCAAACATATGGTGGATAGACCCACCTAAACTTCTCCAATTTTACTGTGTATAACATTAGTAACTTCTGTCCACACATCTGCTTCCTGCCTATTTACCTCATGATCATTTTAACAGCTTCCACGGTATAAATTAATGTTTACACCTTTTGTGTTTATTTAAAGCGGTAAGTAAGGTTATTTCAATCTCTAGAGTTCCATTTTTGAATAAAAGTGCTCTGGTCCCCTACACAGTCATGAGGAAGGCCATAGAGGGAGTGGATTTTAAAAAAGTGCTAAAATTAAGTTGAATTCCATAATATGCCTTTTCTATGCAGTATCATTGGATATTTTTCATTTCAAATATTTAAATATTTAAATCAAATGGGTTTTGATGTAAATGAAGTTTGAAAATGTAAGGGCAAATTCTGCTCCGTAAGCATTGATAGCATATTTGCATAGGGGATATTTAATGAGATTTACAAATAAACACTCTACATTCCACCTACATCCTATCTGCTTATTGTGGCAGAAGGCAGACATGTCTTTTCTGTTCTATTCAGGTTCTTATCCTTTGCTCATCACCATAGCATCTCAGCACCTTCCAGTGGTGCATTAAGTGATGTTATTGCACATTTATCACATGTTGTGTCATCTCTCAACCTCTCCACAAAGAGTGAAGTGTGTGCAGTGGAGGTTTAATTTAATGTAAATATTGCCGTGTATTTATGTAAGAGAAGGCAAGGTCAAAGAAATGCACCTTACATTTGGAGTGGAAAG